AATTGTGTGTTGGTATAATAAGTACTTCCTGTGCCACATTGTGTAAGTGAACCACATGTCGTGTGGACCGCTGTGTGCAGAGGCAGATGACTGGGGAAAAGCATCTCATTCAACCACACAACCCTTTCATGCAGGTTGTTTTGATAGGAATTACATTTATGACCACTTTTCTGAACAACTACAAGCTCTCAACTACAAGCTCTCAAAAAAGATTGAAAAAAAGAAGAAATGGACCGATTGTAACACATTTCCTTTGAAAATGTAACAGTTCGGTGTGGTTACATAAAGTTTAACCTAAACGTGAGTGCTTAAGATATAACCTTCTTTACAAAAGCTTTGTCCACAAGGCACCAGGACTACAGTACTTAAGTTTACAGGGAAGTTGTGTTTGTAAACATGTCATACAAACTCAGCCACCCTTGTCTCCAATCCACATGGACAGGACCTGTATGACAAGCCAGCAAAAACAAACACAGCCATCCACAACAAAAGCACTAGAGACACAGGACTTGCCGTCTTGCTATCTTTAGTGGGGAGTTAGGCTACACTGTGTATACAGACCAAACAAGGACTAAGAGAACGACATTGCTCAAAGGATGTCTGAATTGTTGAGATGTTCTAAAAAGGAGAAAAGGCTAAAGCCAGTAGACATATGCAAAGAAAAAGGTAGACAACTTTATCTCGATTACAATATATTGTTCAATACCAGGGGTGGTTCTTTCTCACGAAATTAAAAAGCTATACAGCACAGCAAATCATGAAAGTTATGGCCAGAATTGTTGCCATTCCAGGCATATGTATCTCTTTTACCAATGTTGTAGTATTTCTGTCTGAATAATATTGCGTGATATTTCTCTCAGGTATTGTAATAAACAGTAGCAAACTGCACAAGAACTATCTATGTCCCAAGGGACGTTTCCATACAGACTTAAGAAGTCAATCCCGAAGCTTTTCATATGCAAAATATGTCCAGTACCTGGGGACTGGTAATTTGTCAGGAGGCATCTGATGAATACAGGCACCCTCAGCAGGTCACTGGACATTTGGGGTCAAACCAGGAACAATGTTGTGGCAGGGGAAAATGTTGACACTTTTTTTTTTCAAGCCAAAGGCTTATGCGATTCCATTATTCTGTCATCATGCCATTTGCATGGTAACTCTTTTTTTTTTAGAAAAATAACCTTTCCCTTGTCTTCCTTTGGAATTGGAGGGATTTTTATCGTCACAGCCCCTCTCCTTTCTATCCTTCTTGGTTCATCCCTGAGTTTTCTATCTGAAAGGAAAGGACAATGGCTGACCCAAAACAGACACAACCCATTTACATGTACGTCTATTTTTCAAGAGGGAATCAAGACCACAGTGTTGGAGAAGCAATATCATTTGAATCCATTGATGGTAATTGGCATAGTACTGCAGAGAAAATCAAAGATATCACCCAGCAACCACCTGTTCCAACAGGGCATCCACTGAAGCCCCAAATTACTCTGATTCTAAGGGGCACAACTCATTCAAGTTACAACATTCAACCTTCATCCTATTGAACCTCCTTGTCTATTCCAAGTTCCAGCTCAGAAACTGAAAGGGACTGAAGTCACATCAGACTAATCTCCAAGCAGATCATACGGTAGCAAGACAGTATCCATTGGCCAGGGGAGTGTCCACAAGCCACCTAGTGGACATACCGCCTTGGCACTGTATGATCTGCTTGGAGATTACACCAGACAACTGTATAGACACTCATGACCAGGACAAAAGCAAAGTTTTCACAGACAAGATTGTGAATTACTTCGGTACCTTGTCTACGATCAATCAATGCCCCAGCAGCTATCCCGATGGTCTCCCGTCTCCTTTCATCAGCAGATACAAAGTGTGGAGGCGGGTCGGACACAGGGGTAAGCCTTTCTGGGGCAACAATGGGAGGGGGATCAGCCCTGCTGACTCACAACACCACAGAGTGACAGATCCCTGCAGATGTGAATCCAGCTGACTGAATCCCTCATGATGTCCTGGTACAATACGGGGGGTTGCCTGGGGTTTTCCAGCACCTTAGTAGAGACTAGATGCACATCTTTTGTACATCCTTGCAACTTTCTGTCCAAAGACATTGTATATTTATTTCTTAAAATCATGCATACATTGTACAAGACTGGTTTATTGAGGAAACATGGTCATACTAGTATTATGACAGTATCAATGATTCCTCATATGGCTAGTGGTTGTTTCTTTCTAACTGTTATAGAAATTTCTTTTACTTCTGCTACAAGACAATATGCCTAGTACCTACATTTCCCACGTCCACTTTGATAATTATTCCAACAGAAACTGACTTCCATCAATAATTTCATTAGGTTGGTGAATGACTGATATTTAAGAACTTTGATATTGTGGTTGTGATCTTCAAAGTTCTTATAATATTAAACTTTGATATTCAAGAAAGTGACTTCCATTCAGTACAAGTTTGAAAGCCCAGCTGGTCACCCTGTTGTATGTGTGTGTGTAAATCACAAGGCTACCCTCTGCTGATCCTGTGCTAGGCTTGACTGACAACACAGACAGTTCCTGGCTCCCCTGCCTTTGTCATGTCCTGTTGTGTACACACTGCAGTACAAGCACCCACAGTAGGACATGGCTACGCATATTTCCCCCTTTTCATCTCCACTCTTCCACATGGGAGGGCAGCAGATCATCGCAAAGTTGGAAGACCACCAAAGTACAGGCTATGTCCAATTCCACAAGACATTACTCTTTTCCTTTGGAAAAACAGGATGTTTTATTTCTACATACAGATAACCAAAAATGCACCAAGGGCAACAGTTACAACTACGGTATTTGACATTTTAAGATTTAGAAATTTGGGGTCTGGAACTGTGAGCTCTTAATAACGATGTATGTTTAACTTCCTTGAAAGCTGAAACTATCAGATAATTTTGTCTTCATTTCAGACAGATTTGACATGACAATAATGCAAATAATACAAATATCATATTATAGAGTCAGTCTTTTTGCCAAGTTAAATGTACTGTATTGTACAACACTAAACTGTGAAAGACTTCAAAGTTGGGAGTCTGTACTCTCTCCAAGCAGATTGGTGGGGAAGATTGTGACCTTTCTAATTACATGTATAATAATAATATGCCCCTTTTTTCTGCTGCTACCCCCACAAACAGGGGGTATATTATAAAGGTCACAATCTTCCCCACCAACCTCTGCTTGGAGAATAGGACTCTGGGATGGTCAGCTGTATTTGCTTACTCAAGCCCACCACAGATGGGATAAGTGTGGGGAGTACTGCTGTGCCTTGTGTGCCTTGTGTTTGCAGATTGCCCCGCTCCACAGGCGGAACTAAGAGCTTGATACAAACGGGAAGGAATTACACAAACGTATGCATGTTCCTGTTGTTCTGCCCCATCAAGTTTCAAAGCCATGCTTCCTCATATGCTAATGAGACAAGAATCTTATCATACTAGTTATGCTAGGAACTCCATCCACAGAAAAAAAGCTTTACATTTACAAAACAAATGTTAGAAACAAGGAGGTTTAGTCAACGATACCTCCTTGATTAGAAATTGCACTTTCTATATCACACAATTACAACAGCCTCTCTCTCTTATTCTGGCATTTTTCAAAACAATCCCAAGAAGTTTAAAATCAAACTCAACATTTTTTCAAGTCCCTGACCGTGCCCTTGGGGAATACTGACCTTGTTGGCACAATTATCATCTTAACGAGCGGTGATAATCACCTTTGTCACCATTATCAATTAGCAAGTGGGAGATAATCTCTGATAAATGACCTGATAAGGACATGATAAATACCCAGACCCTCCCCTACAAACTCTCTTTTGCATACCAAAACAAACAACAGCCTTGAAAAACACCTGGTGATGTTCTGTGCTTTAAACTTTAAAGGTCCCAATGACTTAATCTGTACCCCCACATAACACAGCCTCTAACAAGAAAAGCCACACAATGTTTCACAAATGTGAACAAAGATAATTAGTACCACGAATGTACTGTAAGCTTTGATAATTAGTTCCACTAATCTGTACATGAAGTAAATGTCCTGTCTTTGTAGACCCTGAAAGTTGATACCTAAGGCCACACCAATTTAATTTGTTGGTTCTCTGATTCGCCTCTTCGTTTTTTTCTAATTTGCAAAAAAAAAAAATTGATTCTGGTCCTGAATCAACTGAAAAATGCTCATGTTTTGCCCCCAACAGTTGAGGAAAGTCCTTTTCTTCCTAGTTGTTACAGTTTTCCCATCTATCATTGCAGTGGTTTGATTAAAAGTTCAAAATTCAATGTTAAAATTTTAACCCAGCCTTTTGTGTTGACTTCATGGCTCATTCCATAGCATTTAAGCCTATAATAGGATGCCTAGACCTGTTTTTATTTTTATTTTTTTTCGCCCTGTCGCTTCATATTTTTTCTGAAAAAATCCGAGAACCAACAAATTAAATTGGTGTGGCCTAAACATACAAAACACCTAATGGCTGCACAAACACCTGCGTTCACAAAGAGGACATACCACTTACAAGGCATGACTAGCGATACAGAAATTGTCTATTCTGTACCAATATGCTGTTGGGTCTTCTTTCCAATATCTAAAATGGATTAGGAAACACTTAGTCTAGCATTAGGGCTGCTCATATTGAAGAAAAATTACATTCACTCTCACAGGTTCAGAAGTGATTGGTCACTTTGTATCCTGATGAGGGCGACAGTGGTCATTGAAAATTTGATCCTTATATACCCTTGTGTTGGAACAAAGTTTAGCATAGTACTAAAAATTACGTTCTTTTAGACAGATGTGTCGGACTCTTCGCACAAGGTGAAGGTAGTTGTTGTTTATGCATGTTCTTGACTCTGGCATGTAGAGAATTATCCTTGCTCTAAGGCATCATAAAAACAACAATCCGGCTTTAGAATCAGGCTTTAGAGATCAAGGGCGTACCAGGTGATACCTCGGAGTTAAGTAAACATGACAGTAGAACCTCTCACCTGCCAATCTTGGAACCACCTGGTGCAGCCGCTCCTCCCGACCCGCCCCAGCTCTTGGTCTGACTGGTGACGACAGTCTTGGACCGCACGCTGCCACCTGTACAGAAAAATTCAATACTAACTTATGGCAACTTAAAAACCAACAATAACTGTATTTTATATAGTTACACATTTAAAAATGTGTAACTATATAATGGGGACAATAGTAAGTGCTTCTTGGAACTCTAAGACAGTAACATTGAAAGAAGATGTTGACTTTGACTTAATTCAAATTGCAAAAATGGCATTATTCTGTATCTGTATCTGTATCTGTATAGCCGGTATAACCGCCTTTCGGCGTAACACACCAGCTTCGCAGGCACGCGGCGCGGCGGCAGCTGGCTATATTACACCGATCGACTTGTTACACCTAACCTTTGAACTTCTAGCTCTAGACATTGTTTAAAGCTATCTATTGACAGTGCCCCTACTGTACTTGGTGACAGTGAGTTCCACTCTGCGATAGTTCTAGGAAAGAATGAATTCTTGAACACCTCAATCCTTGGTTGATAACTCTGGTACTTGAATGCGTGGCTATTTCTTGTTCTCTTCTGAGCTGGTATTAGGTACTTAGTAGTTGGGACATCCACCAGTTTATTAGTCATTTTGTACATCATGCATAGTCTAGACATCTTTCTTCTGTCTTCAAGTGAGGTCCACTGTAGGTTTCTTTTCATTTCCGTGACACTAGCACCTCTTACATAGTTGTTCATACAGAATCTTGCAGCTTGATTCTGTACCCTTTCCAATTTGTCTTTGTCTTTCTTTGTATATGGATCCCATACTGTCGCAGCGTATTCTAGGTTCGGTCTTACAAGTGACGTGTATGCAAGTGATTTTACTCTCGTTGGACATGCCCACAGATTACGTTTAATCACTCCCAATGTCTGTTTCGCCTTAGTTGTGATATTATTAACATGTGCACCCCACTTCAGTCCGCTTGTCAGCGTGATTATTCAACCCTTCTCAAGAATGTCTTGAACATCTGGATATCCAAAGTGTACATACCATAGTGGTAATTAACGATGCTGCATTAATAAATCTGTCAAAATTTAAAAGTAGTCTTAGAGTGCCTGGCTGAGTTATGAGAATTGATGTTACTCAGATACCATGTAGAGCTGGAAAGGCAAAAATTTCAGAAGAAAATCTATTAAGGGAAGAACAGTCCCTACCACCATCAGAAACAGTCTCTGTTGTGGTGCGTGTGGTTGTCCCACCAGAAGAACGTTCTACTGTTTTTTTAACAGAAGTCGTCGCCATCTTGTCCTTCTCTTCCTTCTTCTGCGGTTTCTCCTCCTTCTTGTCCTCCCTTGCCTTGAGCCTGGAGTTCAGCTGATCCTGTTCCTTCTTTCTGTCTGCCTGTCTCGCAGAACTCAGTCTTTCTGAAGGTTTCTCTGAGAATCTTTTGGTCAGAGCCTCAGTCTTGAGACCCTTCCGCTCCTTGTCTCCCTTGGTGATGTGGTTGTTGTTAACCTTACTCTGATTGTCCTGTAGGTTGGACAGCACTTTGGACACTGTGTGGTTCAGCAGGCCTTCTGTAATGTACAAGAAAAGGATACATCTATAAGAAACATCAAATTGAATGTTTTTCCTAGCACCTGTAAGAAGTGGTAAGCCTGCGATGTTAAGACTGAAGACAACCACCATTCCTGCAAATTAAGAAATTGGTGGGCCTCAAAATATAGTCAAAACAGTTTTCATCAGATACAAGTTTAAGTCAAAGGAAATATGACTCTTCACCTGAAATAAGCTTTAGACAAAAGAGGAACAAGTTCCTAAATACATGCACATGTATGCAAAGCTTAGAGCAGAAGATGTAAGCGTTACTTTGTGTATGTGTGTTTTCCTCTCATGCAAACAAAAGTGAAACTCATTTGTTGTAGAACTTATGAATCTTTCTTTGTTGACATTTGATACTACACTTAATTCCTTTCTTGAACATTGGCTGAGTTGAAAAGGTCACACTATACTACAGTCTTGAGTGTGCTGACAAGAGGCTTTTTCAGAGGCTTTATGCTTAAGCTTGGTGAGGCCTTTTGTCTTCCACTTGTAAGGATCAGTCTCTTATCAAAATCGAAATCCACTTATAAAGGTACACGATAACAAACAGGCTTTCTGAGATCAATAAGTGTAACAGACCAGAATATCTTACTTGTAACCCTAGTCAGAATTCAGAATGTACTATCACTCGAGTATTACAGGCCAGAATATACACGTGTGTATTCTATCTGTGTGTGTATGCAATACCATGTATTCCTCAAGAAGTACACATTGTACCAGTAGACTATTTCCAGGAATTACAAGCATCAATACTGGACTATATTTTTCTAATCTTGCTAATTTGAAGCATATTATGTAATTTTGTATGTACAAAACATGACATTAACACTATAAGAATGTTTTGTTTTGAAAACTTGCACTCCCCTAAAGCCCTACTTGCACATCACCTTTTAAGGCTCCATTCTTTTCTATCTTAAGGTTCTTGGATGCACTCCTAGAAACATTCACCAGTGATACTGTTTAAAATTGTTGAGGTCTTTGTTTGGCTTTACCACGTAACATGGCACGACAGGTTGAATTTATGATCCTAATTTTGTACATGATAAATTGGTTTCTTAGGGTCATGAGCCCTATCAAAAATTCATGAAACTCATTATTTATTCAAAATGACTGCCATGAAGCAACAAGGTAACAATTTGTTGAATACGAAATGGCTAATGACAGTCTACAATGATGAAGTTGTGGTCATTTCAGAAATGACAGTCTAAATGTGAAGTTTTGTACAATACAACATGTAATGTTACATATTCATTTGTTAGAAAATCATAACATACAAAAACATTGACCCAGACTAAATCACCAAATGGGTTTTTAACAATGCGTAAGAACAAATTTAAAAGTTATCATTATGATAACATTAGAAAGAAAAAAAACAATCATGCTACAATGTAGCCTTCAATTCCCTTGGTTGTCATCATACGTTCTCAATATTGTTAACAAATTAAAACTATCCCAAAAGCAGAAGACAATTGTTCTCTCCAATATAACTCCTGTTAGTTACTGAATAGATACAAAATGTACAGTAAAGTACCTTCGATTCTGCATGCAAGGAAACATAACCCAATGCTCGAAAACCTTCCGTATTCTTGGACGTCCATAAAATCTAACTTTCTAAACAGTACACAGAGACGAAATGAAAGCAGGCTTGTAACATTCCAATGAATGAGACATACAGAAACCCTACCTTACCTGCCTTAAGGTGCTCACAATGCCTCCGTACAACACCCTCAAATTGTCATGCATGCATGCTTTCTGAGGCTTTGTTCCCCGGCTACGTAAAGTGGATTTCTGGGACAGTGGCCAGGGAAATCATTACAGATCGACCAACAACAGGTGAAAACCTGTGATAAAATCGATTTATGGGTGCAGATACCTGATGGGGAACTAAATTAAAACAACAACACCCACTTCATTAGTAGTCATGGAAAGCCGCGAGGGCGTTGCTGCTGCCTTGTGGGGCTTCGTCCTTATTTAACGGTCAGGTAGCTTCTTAAGACCGTTCCATTACAGACAAATTTGTGGGATCACTCAAACTCTTCATTCCATGAGGAATTTGTGGGATAACACCTCATAAACAAAAGGAGGTGGACCAAATGTCTTCTTTATTTCAAATAATTACATATTTCATGGGTATAGACCTTCTCCTTAGTTTTTCTTTAAGTGAAAGAACACTACACATTTGTGGTTGCTACAGTGGATCAACTTAATCCATCGTAACTGTCTCTTTTGTTGTCTTTTCCTTCTAGTAGGTTGCAATGCTGGTACATGTAGTACCTGTGAAGTGACGGGACTTTCCAAACTATGTTTTCCCTGGATAAATAAGAGAACCTTCTGTTTTTGTAGCCTCTAGTAGAAAATTGCTTTTGTTCAAAACCATCAGGTCAGATCATAACTGAGTCAACTTTGAAAATACATGCAGGTATCTTGTCAATATACATGTACTTGTAGGTGTTAACATCTATCAGACATTAAGCCTAGGGTTTTAAGTCAAGTGATTGGCTGCGATCCCATTGCGCAATGTGGTATACCAACAGCTAGATATATCCACTGGCTGTGAAATAAGACTCAAATACCCCAAAGTCAGCAATCAAGAATTACAATAAGCAGGCCACAGGATAAGGGTCTTAGCTTTTTGTACAGTGATTGGTATAATGCAAATTAAAAATTCCTTCACTCGAAAACAGTGTTATGTACTGCGAAAGTACGAGTGCGTAAAATCATTTCTTATTATGGTTTACTATAATTTGTGACAGCTAGAAAACCTGAGCAAAATGAGTTAAAAGTATCCTAGACAAAACACTCATGTATGTATGTAACACACATATTTTATCATTTGGACAAACAGTACAATTCTAACACTTGTGCCCTGCAGTAGTTCACTTGTCTAGTGCACCATAAACTAATGACATCATTCCAACACACCAAACACTTCCCTAGTCATGTGCACATGTATGTCAACTATTTTATTGTGTCTACATGTTAATATCAACAAAAACAAACATAGAGACGGTCTGTCGACACAACAGCATTTTTTTTGCAAGAGTAAAGATGACACGTACCTCTTTTCTTCTTCCGTAGTACACGTAAGGCTGCCCGGATCCTCTTCCGGTCGTCGTATTCTGTTGTCTGATCAAGCTGGAGAAAAGTTGGAAAATCATGAATTGCAAGACAGAAAATGCTTGCAACAATTTCAAATCACAAGATTTGCCTTAGCAAATTTCCACAATTTTGGATCTAACTTGTCAATTTGTGGCAATGTTCAAGTCTGTATCATGCTAGACAAGCTTTCACGGTTGTTCACGGACATATACATGAAATATATGGTCGCACCAAATGCGAACCATGCAAGCTGTTATGGCCTAAATGCATGTACCAATATATTTATAGCAATAAACGTGATGAGTCCACAACTGGCATGCCATTTAGATATTACATGTGTAAGTGTGGTTCATTGCACAACAAAATGTGGTCCATGATAATATTTGTATACCAGTGGTGTGTTCCACAGTAATATTTGTATACGATTACGAGCACAATATGATGTTATCCTTGCAACATACCTGAAACACATTCTAGTATGCCTCATTGACATTGTACATGTAAGAATCTACAATTGTCTTTGCAACAATCAGGATTGTACCATCTGTACAAATGATTATGGGGGGGCAAGGTACAATATCATAAAATACATTAAATCTGACCAGTGCTCCTCACATATATAGTTTTCATCGTGCTTCCCTAAAAATCAATCTGGTTAGTGCTCCCTATAGTTTTTGGATTTACTTTCCTAAAACATTTTTTAAGAAAAGGAGGCACTTTTAATAAAATCACTAAAGGAAGTGTAAATAGATCTTCATACACACATATACAGACAAGCAGACACATCATGATACATGATATAAATGAAAGGAGGAATGGTGAGAGACAAAACAACTCAGCATGCGAAGGGAAGGCAGCAGAGCCAAACCTTTAGAACAGCAGATAGAAACACTCTCCAGAAACTGTAAACTTTTTAATAGTTCTGTAACAACACAGTCAAAGAAACAACAAGGTGTTACTAAATCAGCAGAACTTAGCAAGGTCATAGAAAGTAAAGGAAAGGAAGAAAAAGAGGGCAAACTTCTAGTTAATAAGAAAGTACAGTTCCTGAAAATACAGAAAACAAGAAGCAGCAGTGTAAGAGCAAAACTTCCATCTACATGTAAGTGTACTCTCCAACCAGAGGTTTAGGCTTGAATCGGCTAATTTTTTATGTGTTTTTAGCAGTTTTACCAGGCTTTCTTTTTTGTACTGATATATTTTTTTACACATGAGTGCTGAATAGATACTGCAATGTCAATTCAATACTGTCTAGCAGCCATCAAAATATATGCCTGGAGGTTACACTAACTGGGGGCAACCAAACTGCAACCTCACCAGCTTCTCCAGTATGTGTTTTTAACAGTTTTTATTGGGCTTTCTTTTTTGTACTAGTATCTTTTTTTTAAGCAAAGATGGCAAATCAATACTGCTTAGACACTGAAAGATCTGCTTTCAGGTGACAAATTTAAATAGATACTGAGTGTCCTGTCAACAGTTGTCTTGCAGCCACCGAAAGATCTACTAGTACTTGGAGGTTACACTAACTGGGGGCAACCAAACTGCGACCACCAAAATATCTGCTTGGAGGTTACACTATATGATACATAATTATAACTGAGGGCAACCACACTGCAACCTCACCAGCTTCTCCAGCTGCTCCTCATCCTCGATGCTGTCCAGGTTGTCCAGGTTGGCTGACGTGACCTTGACCTCTTGACCCTCGTCTGCCATTCGCTTCTTCAGACAGCTTCTGTCCTGGGACTTGGGATCAGGGTCCTTTACCTGTGGAACATGTAAAATTGTATAAGAATTATTATATCATACCCGTTATCGAACGCTTCCATGGCTTCCATAAAACAATTCGAACGCGTTTACCCGCTTGTGCCCCTTTCGAAAATTTGAATACAGAATCCAGACTTTGGAATTGATGTTGTTGCATTTTAGGGTTTAGTGGCACCAACTTTTGGCTCATCTTGCATTGAAAGGCGTGTTTTCTTGGGTGGGTATGATATAAATAAAATACAACACGGTGTATTCCACATCGCCCTCGGTCCCGGCCCTACCGCCGATACCTCGTGTTGTATTCTATATTTATAAAAATTCCATAAATATTGTATACAAGGTTTTTACTCTTCCGTGCTTTACTTCAAATAGGTCTTAATACAAATTTTAATGTCCCAATGCAATTCAGCCATTCTGGCAGCAATGTTTTGGACACTTTTGAAGGAAACCATAATGTATGGTTGAAGGTCTTCCAAAACATTTGAAGAAGGATAAGATATCTTGAAATAGTTCATAAGGAATATATTGAGATATGATCATGGATATCTGACAGTAACCTTGATAGTCTGAAACGTTTGTCTCAGTGAACTCCAACCACCTGTGGCATGATCGGTCTGTCCCCATGCTCAATAGACATGCAATATGACACAACCACAAGCACAACACATGTACATGACATGACATTGTACAATCACACTACAGCTAGCTGCAGAAATAATACATGTACACAATCATACAGTTACCAATCTTTGGTGAGTTGCTACAAGACAGTACATAGTTGACAGAACGTCTGTAATCCTCCGGCTTAGTAGTTAAAGACTGACCCAGCCGGCCAGCTGACACAAGCCCAACCCAGGTTTGAATATCGTCAGCCAATTAAAACTGGGCGTGCTGATGACGTCATATGGGTGCCCCAGTCATGTCATGCCCTACAGGCATGTCTACACAATGTATGTCGGCCTCTAACCTACAGTAGTGTAGAACCAGTAGCACTGGTCTATGTTAAATATGGAAAGCCACAAGCTATTGTATTGGGAACATCTTAAAACTTAAAACTTATTTTTCAGCTGTTGCAGAGCGTATCAGAATGTGTACTTAAGTTAAAATTGAAAATCTATGCCAAGCCTTTACTTATACTTTAAAGCTAGCAATGTTTTTGGAATCAAGAGATATTGCAAAAGTGACCCTGATCCTTGCATCTGTTTGGAGACAAGCTGTGACTAGCCATACAATTTAGATTAGCTGAGGTTAGCAATGGGAAGTGATTACAAGTGAGTTCGTCAGCACTACTAGTAACATGGTATGATGACGTCAAACTGCCAAAATGAAAACAAGAGAACTACACACCCCATAAAACTAATGGTTGGTTGTACCCTTAGTGTGAGTGCACACACAACTGGTTCAAAGACCTATTATCCTGGTGGTCTACATATTATGTATGTTATAAAGGCAAGTAGCATACCCATAAACAACATTATTCTCTTTCCACATCTATTTCATCACTACAATTTGTACACCAAATCAGACCCCACATCCATCTAGAAAATTAACATTTTCTAGTACCATAGGAGTACTGATCTACTACACATTAATATGAAGTTACAGAACTATGTATGTATACAAAATGAAGTTCCTGAAACATTCCAAATGCTATAATTTGGTGTTCAGGAAAGGTAGAGAATTGAAGGTTTTGGAACTTCCTGTCACATGTACATAGCATTCCTGTTGTTGTTCGTCCATTCCTACCGCTACCTGAACTGTAGCATACAGGTGTGTGGGACCATTACCTAACCCAGAATCTATCTGCCCTGTACATGGTCATAACAAACACACCTGATTGAAAACTCAAAATTCCTCAACTTCTTGGGATGCTCATGCCTTGAAAACATGAGTCACACTAGTTATGGACAGGTATGTCTTTGAACTATTGTAAACATCCCAAACTTGAGGCTTCCCAATAGTTACACAAAAAAAACAGTTACTCAAGCAACTGGATATGATTTTGGAAAGTTGATTGAGTAATATACATTATATTATATAACAGTTTTTTGGTGTATCTTATTACCTGGATGTCTAACCTTCACTGACGTTCCCAATAGTTAACCTACTAGCATATACATTGTATAAAAAAAGACATCAATGATGTCCTTGATCAAATAGAAGCAAAAGCTGACCTTAATTCCCATGGGTATAAGAGTAACACAGCTGATTAAGCTAATGATGGATTCCAAAGCTTGTTCGGAATGACAGCACGCATGTAGCTCTGAATGCAGTGTGCTCCATAGTCCATAGGCAGGCTTTCCAGATGTTCAATGATAGACTTCCTTGTACCTGACCTCACTGATACACTTGACTTCTTACTCGTACTTATCAATATTTACTTGAAAATGTCTGAGAACCAAGAAAATAGATTAAGTTGGCCTACAAATGTACGAGAAATAACTAGTGATGCACTGCAGGCTACATAAGTCATGTGTATACACAAATCCATCTATGATGTATATACACCAACTGTGACTGTGAACTTTAAAGGTTCCATGCTGTTAGCTATGGATTTGAGTATTGATTTCAGTGAAGTACCTGATACATAAATCTGAACAGCCTTAAATTCTCAGACAAGATGTTGCTGTGGGTTTTATAATCGGAGAATTTACCTCATTACAGGTAGACCTAACTCATTTGACATACATGTATGCATCTACATATGGGTACTAATTGTTAAGATGTTTCAAATGCCAGAGACAAGAAGGACACTACTACACACTACTTGAATTATGAGGAACTTTTCTTATTACAGGTAGACCTAACTCATTTGAAATATATTGTATGCATCAACAGATTGCCAAAACGATTCAAATGCCAGAAACGAGCTTAAGTCAAGAATGACACTACTAGTACTAGAGTCTACACACTACTTCAGAAGCTGAATAGGCCTTCAGAAGCTGAATATTTCCACATACATGATATAGCAGCCTGTATGCTGGCAAAATACACCACCATTGTATACACAAGCTTGATGGAAGCCTGATTATTTTTCCTGATTCCCACTGAGAATCAATCAATCATGATGGGATCCATAAAGCTGAGGAATTCTGTATCTAATTCCTATCATATGGCACTAATCAGTTCTTGCTCAGATTATAGGGTTTAAGCCGTTAAATCCTGTAACTGGGAAATAAAATTGCAGCTAACAGCAATTATTTCCCTGTTCAGAGTGACAAATCATTTAATCTTGCTGAATCTAACCTTCAGAAGAACCTTTAAAGTATCATTCTATCGACACTGCAAGTACAACATGAAAAGGGCAATATGGAAAATACTACTCCTATTCTTTGATTACACATTTGTACATGTATGTGGGTTCTAGATAACCACCTCATCCCCACATAAATTGTTTAACACACGGTTGTCTTCATTTCTAAAACAGCCCTTGCTTACATGTATCCACGTCACTTATGATAAGCAAAGGTTTTTGTACAAAGCCCCATACTTACTCTTCCCATCTGGATGTAATACCTGCTGATGTAGGTAACGGTAGTCATTTTTGCAGATGCTAACACGGAAGTACGTGTACGGCTGACGACTACAGATGGATCGACTCTTATGGGGTCACCTTCCTCCAGTACTCCATCAAAATCCCTCAGAACACAATAGGTGAGTCTTAGAGGCCAATAAGCCAACACTTGACTTCGTCTCGCACCGCCATGCCCATTTCGACGTCTGTATCGTCTGTTGAAGTACCCGCATCACTTATGTAAAAGGAACTGGTAAAGAGATGTTTCTGTTCCTGCGTACACGTTGCTGATACTTTGATCACCCATGCTTTACCAGGCCGGCAGACGCGATGCCACACTCAGAGGTCTTACTGATGAGGAAGATCAGGACAGGGGTCAATCATTACGTGACCTCTGGGTCTGTGTAATATCACTGAATCTCCAATCTAACGTTCCTCTCTGTGATATTCCAATAAACCGGCCACCAAATACCGTTACACTTGGCTTCTTATAAAAACAAAAGTGCCAGGGGGTCCAGATATTGGACAAGTCTACCCCGTTTATCACAATCGGACAGGTAGCGTTACTGAACGGTCCCCTCAAAACAAGCTTAATAACAAAACCTTGCCAGTGTCCACATGCTATTAATTCATTATTCTCCCCAGAGGATAGAGCTGGTATAATCAAGGTGTTATCTATTGTATGATCAAGCCTCCGCCCTTCCTGATAAAAATCTACCTGGAGACACGAAAACCACAAAAATCTACACAAAAATCTACCTGGAGACAACAATCCCACTTGAAGGACGCAGAAGAGACAGGCAATCTCCTTGTCAAGGCTCTTAAGTACAGGATAATGATAACTCATGTTTGTACAACAGGTCGTTAGATGGATTTGTGAGACTTCTGGTAAACATGACATGTTTATGACCGGCTGCGGGTCATTCCATTTGACAACTCTGGGGGGAGGAGGAAATTATTTTTAACAACATCGCCTGACAGCAGTAATCCCTTTTTCAACCCATCTAGTCTTTAGCATGACCCTAAATCTACCATTGTTTTTTTAATATCCCAACATTCCTTGACAAACTCCAGAAGTACTCTGTCTCACTGTCTTGTCAATACCATCTTATCTTCTTTATGGATCCTTCATTCTTTATCATTTGAAGGAAGATATTGCCTAACTGGACAAAGTGACCCTAACCTAAGGCAACTTACAACTCATTACTCAGCAAGTTATCTTTGCAAGTACCTGTTAAGTCTGTTAATGAGTTAATGGCCCATTATTAAACCACTTGTTCTAGGACTCAAAGTAAAGATTCAAATAGTAGCTGTCAGCAGACTTTTTTTCTAAACAACCAAAAGATACCAAAAGAACATCATGAAATTAGCATTGCATCTATTCTATTCTCCATATTCAAGGTTGCTCATGCATAATTAAACGCCATAGTCCCCTACCTGGCTTAGAGTTCTATTCTGTTCTTTGATGCAATTTGACCAGGGTAAG